CCCAGAGGTCCCTTCCAACCCCTGCCATGCTGGGATTCTGTGATTCTGTGAAAGGAGTTGTCTTTCTGCAGAAAACCTCAGCTGCTTTGTTGATGAGATGGTGAGAAATGAAAAGAAGGAAAGAAATCAGATGGCAGCTGATTTTCTAAATTCCTTTCTGGTGCGTTTGCTCGGGACGCCCCTGGCCTGGCGCTGCGAAGCCTGCGCTGGCACGGCTGCTGCGAGCAAGCCGCGCTGTGTGTTTGAGAAGCTGTGTGGGTATTTATGTAGAGCCCGTGGGAAGCACCGTGCACAAAATAAACTGTCTCCTTTTCAGCCATGCGGTGTGAAAGGTTGAAGGGAAATGGCAAGATTCATACTTATATGTGTCGTTACGTAAGGTATCCATGAAAAACCCCTCCCTTAGCGAAGCCACAGGCAGCGATGGAGGCTGGGGGGGATCCTGCCATTTCCCTGACTCCACCCGACGCAGCTGCAGCTCCGAAGCAGCGTGAGCTGAGGCACCTGAGGAGGTGCCAGGGAGATGGAGAGGTATGGAAGAGATGTATGCGGTGCTTTGTTGAAGTCCAGGTGTGTGAGGATACGATGTAAGAGCACGTTAAAAGTGAGATGGCATATCGATCATTTCAAGGGGGAGTCTCCTTCTCTGGAGATATTCAAGCCCCGCCTGGACAAAGTCCTGTGCAGCCTGCTCTGGGTGACCCTGCTTCGGCAGGGGGGTTGGACTGGGTGACCCACAGAGGTCCCTTCCAACCCCTACTATTCTGTGATTCTGTGATTCTGTGAGTGCTTCGGGGGGACGCTGGGCAGCGGCTCGAATGTCCCCTGGTGCCGTAGAACAGTCTTCTTCTGGAAGACTCGGTTGTGTGCAATTAGAAGGACAGGGATAATTTCCCAGAACTCGAGAAACCCCTCTAACCTCTTTCGTGTGTGGGTCTGCTCAGCTGCAGAATGAAGAGGAGCCAGGCGAGACGGCAGCGGTGGTGAGTGATGCCCCTCCGCCGTACAGCAGCATTTCTGCGGAGAACACAGGTAAGCGTAGCCGAAAGGGAAGAGCTAGGTTTGCTCTCGTCTTCTTTCTGACCTCCTTAATTGTTCTCCGTGTTGACGGGTGGCGTTGCAGCATCCCCGCTACGGCTGCAAAGCCTCGGGGCTGATCCAGAGAGGCCGTTGTTACTTGCGACTTAGGAGATGCATTTTGGCTGCGTTCGCCTGATGTCATCCCATCGAGTGGCGTTCAGGTTACGGTTCGCAGGGTTCTTAGTAGATTGGAGACCAAAGGCTGTTAAAGTCAAAGTGCTGTGAGGATTTGTGGTTCCCCTGTCATTATTTGGCGTTTGGATGATGCTGTGCTCTTTCCAAAAAGGACTTGTTACTTAAAAGGGATTAAAGGATTCACTCTTTCTGCAGTTTTCACTAACTAAGGGCTTGGTCGTAAGGATTATGCTGCTGCTGAATCGTCACACTGTCGTGACACTAATAGCTTTCAGCAAAGCAGCTTGTTCTGTGTTGGTTGTTATCAGAGTGTTTTGGCTTAGGTAAATCTTTGAACTTTTTCCCTTCCAGAACTTTTGTAGTCGATAATTCAGATAGGATTGGTGAATCAAATGCAACATAGCGTCAGTCCCTCGCCCAGCCAGCCAGCTTTGGCTGGAAGTTTGGATGTGGTGTTTCTGAAGCTGCCTGTTGTCCTGCCTTGGCACACTGACCCTGAAGATGTCCCGTTAGGTCTGGTTCCTTAGGGCGTCTCAGCGACCGGAGCTCAGAAATGCTGCGTTTGATTTGTGTTCCAGTCCCTTTCCCCTCCGTCAGAAAGCAATTTGGAGTCTCTCTCTGGAAATATTGATCGCCAGTGGCCTGAGGCCTGCGGTGACACTGCTTTGACTCGCTGGGGATTCCAAAATATGACTACTTCAGTTCGTTGAAGTCGGGACAGGCACAGCATGTGTCATGGCTGTGAAAAGAAGTACAGCCAGACGTGTTAAAGAAGTGCTCAGCGTATCACTTTATATTAGAGAAGGTGCTCCCGTGTTTCTCATGTTCTGTTTTGGGAAGGGAAGAGGCTGGAAGGGGGGGGAGGGGGTCATCTGAAACGCTTCTTACTCCCAACACAAGGAGCTGACAGGTTACCTTCCATGTGACTCTTTTTTTCTGCAGCTTATTTCGACTACAAGGATGAGTCAGGATTTCCTAAGCCTCCATCTTACAACGTGGCGACAACGCTGCCTAGTTACGATGAGGCAGAGAGAACCAAGGCTGAAGCCACAATTCCCTTGGTTCCTGGAAGAGTGAGTACGCTTGGCTGGCTGCGCGTCCTCCGCGTCTCTGCTGGAGGATTTCTGCTCTAACTCCTGCTGATCAAGTATCACGGCGTGCTTTTTTTCTTTTCTTTTTTTTAAAGCTTTCTGGGGCGGTGATATTTCACACTCCCAAGAATTCTGTGGGTAATTTTGTTGTTTTTTTGTAATTTTCCTCTGGGCGGCTGTGATGAAGTAAGGCATCTCAGTGATGCCAGCGTGTGCTCTCCGGCTTCGTTTGGCAAGCTGACAGAGGAACAGTACTGCATCCGTGTGCGCTGTCACTGTTTGTTTTTTGTTCTTTAAAAAAAGGTTTCGGATTACTTGTTCAGACATCTAGCATATCTGCCCTTGATACTCCTGCCGCTTACTTAGTTGACTTCTCCAGAGGTCGGTTTAGCTGATGCAAGGATGATAAAACCATTCTGTCAGAATAATTATCTTTTCATTTTTTATTTCCTTTTGTTTTTTTCAACATCATCTCTTGTTCAACCTCTTCCTCCCCCCCTGCTAGCATTAGACGTCTACTGCTCGTTATAGTTCTTCACAGAAGCCAAATTCCTTGCTGAGATAAGTTTAATTTTTCTGATGAGTAGGGGAATTCTTTACAGTAAGAACAGGAACACGCCCAATCTTGACTATTTAAAAAGAAATAGAATACTGCCAGTGACTTAATATTTCATGCCCAGCATCATCTCGGGCTGAGAAGCAGGAATTTTTCCTGCTTGCATTTGGAGCCTTTTGAGATTTGAGATTCCCCCTGCCCCCATGGGGGGCTTTCCTTAAACGTAAGTGAAGCATTTTGTACCCCTCCATCGTACGCCGCTTTTTGAGGGCTACCCGATTTGCTGGCCCTTTCTTGAAGAGCCGAGATCGCTGTGTGGACTGCATTGACCTGAATCCACCCACGTCTTGTCGCCCTTTGATCTGCAGGATGACGACTTTGTGACACGGGATGACTTTGACGACACCGACCAGCTGAGGATAGGAAATGATGGCATTTTCATGCTAACGTTCTTCAGTAAGTACATAGTGGAACTTAGTATTTTTCAGGCAGCAAGCCAAAATAGCTAGAGTTATTTTCATGCTTATGTTTATGTAAAAATTGTGTGCAGGGGTTTTATGTTTGGGTTTTTTTTTCCGTTGGAATATGAAGAGGGCCTGACCTGCTGCTTCTCTCCTGCTTTCTCAGTGGCATTCCTCTTCAACTGGATTGGATTTTTCCTGTCTTTCTGTCTGACTACTTCAGCTGCGGGACGGTACGGGGCCATTTCTGGGTTTGGTCTGTCTCTTATTAAGTGGATCCTGATTGTCAGGGTAAGTTGCCTAGCGCAAAACCACGGACATAGACACTGCTGCTCTCTCTCCCTAGCTCGTTTTTTCGCACTTCTGCTGAAGTTAGTTATAAATTTAGCTCGTTATAATGAAACAGATTTTGAGCTCCGTATTTGCTGACAGCAGAGCTTTTTCATCATTCTCTTCATACGCTGGAGTTATTATTGTAGTAACAGAGAACAAGGATTGCACACCCAAGTGTGGGTCCCTCTGACAGAGCCGCGGTGTGGGGTCAGAGTGCGTGTGCCGAGCGGTGGCAGCGACCTGACCTTTGTAAAACATTTCTCCGGGCGCAGCCAGCCCTGCCGTCAGCACGGGGCTCGCTCTCTCCAGCGCCACGTTCCTTGGGCGCTCCTCCGAAAAACGAATAATCCTGCACAATGCGGGATAACCTCGGGCACGGCTGCTGAGGAGGGGGACAGGGACCTGAAAATGGGGAGGTGTGAGGTGGGCTTCTCTCTGGAGGAGGAGGAGGAAGAGGAGAAAGAGGAGGAGGAGGAAGAGGAGAAAGAGGAGGAGGAGGAAGAGGAGAAAGAGGAGGAGGAGGGAGGAGGAGGAAGAGGAGAAAGAGGAGGGGGAGGAAGAGGAGAAAGAGGAGGAGGAGGAAGAGGAGAAAGAGGAGGAGGAGGGAGGAGGAGGAAGAGGAGAAAGAGGAGGGTGTCCTGGTGACGGAGGATGCGGAGAAGGCAGAGCTAAAAGTAAAACTCTTTTTTGGAGTGACTGCGAGAAAAGATGAGAAGAGCTTTGTTTGGAGCGCACGAAAATGGCCCACAGGCATCCCAAGGCAAATTTTGAATTTCAAGCAAAAAAAAATAATCTCGTTAGCTGTGCAGAAGTAGCGAGCGTGAGTGTCAGGGCTGTCACTTCATACCTCATCTCCTTGGGCTAGAAGTTTCAGTTTGTAAAGACAGCAGCTGTTACCTTTCTCTGTAGAAAGTTAAGATTTTGGGGTCATCTCGTAACAGTGGTGTGCAGAGCCGTTTGCTGGATGAAGAGGTGTGACAGAAACGGGTGACCTGAACTGTGGGTTTGATTTAAACTTTGATAACCTTTTGTTAGGTTTTTAAACTTGAATAGAACAAAAACAAAACAGATACTGTATTTACCAGCGACATAGCGAACTGCGGCGCTCGGGCAGTGTTGGTGCCCTTCACTCAGTCGCCGGTCATCTGCCCAGTAGAAGGTCTCGTTAGGGGGTCCCACGGGTCTGGGAGTTGTTTCCCCGCTGTCCGTGGCTGCCCTGGCCAGCCTCCCAGCGCAGTTAGCGGGATGCGCTGCCGCGGGCCTGGCCTGCCCTGTCAGGGGCTGCAGCTGTGCCTTGGAAGCAGCTGGGGACATAGGAGCATTTGCACAGGGGTGTCTTTCTGCTCCACTGATGGCAGGAGCTGGTGGCTGGGTGTTGAATCTGCTCCCTGCCCCTCGGTTAGGGTGGCTCTGACATGCACAGGAACACCCTCAGTGAAGGTTCGGGGGGGCAGCTTGTGCCCCGCAGCCGGGGCAGTTGATGAAGTGCAGCGTTCCGTGAGCTCTCTGGTGCGCAGCGGGCGTGATCTGGGTACTGCTGACGTTGGTGGGAGTGGATTTGGGTTCACAAACTGCCATGTGCTCTGACGTCTTTCTTTTTTTTTAGTGCTCTGACTTCTTTCTTTTTCAGTTGCTCTGACTTATTTCTTTTTTTTTTTTTAGTTCTCCACCTATTTTCCTGGTTACTTTGACGGCCAGTATTGGCTTTGGTGGGTCTTCCTTGTGCTAGGTGAGTGTTTCTTCTGGGGGGAAGAGGGAATGCCTGCTTAAAACCCTGTAACGTGCAATTAGGGCTTTTGTGAGCATGGCTTTACTGGCTGTTAAAGTATGTGCATATAGATGGAAAACTGAAATGGGACCCTGAGAGTACTCCTCCTCTTACTGAGTGCCTTCTGGGTTTTAAAGGTGCACATAAACGCTGTCCTTGTGTTGTCATTTCTTGGTGGCAGCATCCTATTTGTCATCCAGAAAGACTAAAGAAGAGAACGGTGCTTGTCTTCATAGTAACTAATCTTGTAGCCGTTCTTAAAACAAAAAAAATAAGGAAGAGTGGGTTGTGGTCTTTCTTTTTCTTCCTCACCCCCCCTCCTTCCTTTGGAAGTGACTGGATCTCATTTGGAGTCAAAAGTATTGTAATTGCCTGAAACTGAAAGATTAGGTGTCACTGACACCAGAGAAATCTTGCATTTAATCAGCTATTGTGCATCCCAGCGGCCAAGGTCCCTCCGTACGAGCTATGGTGAGCTGAACTGCTCCTTTTCTGGCTGAAGAAGCAAAAGCTGTGTTAACTGGGCAAATGTGTTTCTTCCATCCAGGTTTTCTGCTGTTTCTCAGAGGCTTTATTAATTATGCAAAGGTTAGGAAGATGCCAGATACTTTTTCCACTCTCCCCAGAACCAGAGTTCTCTTTATTTACTAAAGGTAAACTTTCTGCTTTCCTGAATTTGTTCTGTTTTGCTTTTAATTCTATTAAGTGACTCTGTTAGGCGACACTTTGCTTGAATATTTTTAGAACAGAAGAGTTGTCCTTGGTGTCCTGTACGCAGCTCCTGTTTGTACAGAGTCCAGTCCGGCTTGGTGGGGAGCAGAGGAATAGTTGCCGTTTCCTCCCGAGTCTTTCCTTGAGGAATTGTATGTTCGTTAGATTGCGTAGCTCGAATGGCAAGGAGGAAGGCTTTGCCCCGTGCTGTCGCGCTGGACGTGGCGGGTGCGCCTTGCAGGACAAAGAGCACGCGGTGGGTCCGCGGCGCGAGTAAAGGTCGCGCAGCGTTGGGAGAGGATGGGGCGGGGGGGTTTGGCTTGTGTCCCAGACAGAGCAGTTTGTCTGAATTTTGCGTGCCGTTCGCATTTTCTGCCAAGTTGCGGAAGCAGTCGGACTCCTGCACACCTTTGCCCTCTGAAACCCCCGCCCACGTACTTTGGCCTGGTGTCCTGCCTGAACGTCTTTCAGAAACCTGGCTGCCTCGCAGTCTTGCCCTTCCAGGCTGAACCTTAAGGTTGCTGCCCGCTTAATGGGGCTTTAAAGGAGGAGGCTGAAGCAGCAGAACCCTTCTGGTGTAATTTCCTGCTCGCAGCAGATAATGGCCTGGCATTAACTGTCCCTCCCGGAGGGGAAGGAAATCCTGTAATAGGTGGCTTCCCAGATGGCGAGCGCAACGTGATGCTCCCTTTAGGAACATCGTAATAACGCTAGATTTCCCCGAGACGGGGTTGAAGCAGTTGCAGCTGGGGCAGCGGCGTAGAGACACCAACCCCCCCCTCAGCTTTGCGCTGGGGGTCGTGCAGTTGTTCAGCTTTGAAAACCGAGGCTCGGTGTTTCCAGACGCGCTTTCCTTTTATTAGGAACTGCAAATTGCGCAAGGTTCTGCTCCGCTCCTGGTCTCTAATGAGAACACGCCACACAAAACGGCCATTGTGCAGTGTTTTCCAGCTTGTTTTTTCCTCTGGTGATAGTGTGTAAAAATAGTTCAGTCAATTTATTTAAGTGTTTCAGTACTGTTTAACGAAGTTACGGTTTATGGCCTCCTCCAGGACTTGTAATATCCTCTCCAGTTCCTGCTAAATCACCAGAGGGTTGATTTCCCCCGCTTGTATGGTCCCGTCGTGTGAGTGTTCAGGCATCAGCTTTATCATCTGCAGCTTGTGCTCACTGAACAATTTTTTAAATTTTGCTTCTTTACTGAAACTTCATTTATTAAAGGAACTCTGTGGTTTCTTGTTGCACCAGCTTTTCCTATGCTTGGAGTTTGAAATTACAATTTCAGAGACCTTGCTTGACTCCTTGCTAATGAGGATGGAGGTGTAAAAGTTTTTCAAATTTTTATTTTTGTGTTTATTTTTTGTCATTTTGGAGCTTTCAAAAAGCACTCTCTCTTTTAGGTATACTGAGATAAATGTCCAGGATAATTTCCAAATAGTACACCTTTCACACTCCCCCTGAAATGAAATCTTTAATCCTAAATTATGAGCAGGGAAACCACGGAAGACTTGGATTTTCGGTGTGTTACTGTTCTTAAGATTAGATTTCCTCTCTAGGGCGTAATGAAAAGGGCATGGGGAATGATCGTTTTCATTTGAGGGCAGGGATAGTTTTTAGAAAATTAGGAGGGGATGAGGAGAGGAATAACCAGTGCAAACCAGAAAAGAACAGCTGGTGACAGTGGAGGTCTAATGGAGAGCCTGGTGTCTGCAGTCCAGCCGGCGCGGGCTGGCGGTGGGCGTTCTCCCCGGAGCCGCCCGGCCCGAGCTGGACGATGGTGCCGAGCGTGGCAGGAAGGGGGAGAAAAGTCGGAGTCACCCGGGGGGGTGCAGCAGCCAGCGACCGAGTCAAATCTTGGTCTCGGGGCGCAAATGCAGTGTGATTTCGTGCACCTGTATGGTTTCACGCCGGTGTTTCTAGGAGCGTTGTCTGGTTTAGTGCCTGTTTTCTCCTAAGGAATTTTCACTCTTCAGAACTGTAAAAGATGCACAAAACGACTGAGCGCTGAGCTAGAGTCGCGTCGCTGTGTGCTGAGGCACTGCGTAAGCCCCGAGACATCCTGCGCTTTGCGAGCTGCATCCTTCTGTTACCCGGAATAACAGCCTAACCGTAGTGTCCGTGTTCAATATCCTTCTCCGACAGATGTTTTCTGGCAAGTGTCTTCCTGCGTTAGTGAATTCTCCCTCAAGAAGCGACAGGACACCTGCAGGAAGTGAATCACGTCTCTGGAGCAGAAGAAAAAATAAGCACCTGCTTTAAAATAAATAAATAAAAGTACTGTTAAAAAAAAAAGAGGAGAAGCATTTCTTTCTGTTTGTTTCTAGCTGTAAAATTTTAATAATTAATGCAGAATTCTGTAACCATTGACTCATTAGTGGCTAATGTTTGAAAAAGCTGTTGCAGTCGAGTCCGTGGCGTGCTGATGAAGCCTTCTGTCGGTAGCTGCTGTGTGCGGTGGGTGGCACGGCGGGGCCCGGCGCACTCGATCTCCTCCTCGGCGCGGGCGGTGGGTGCTGTGGGTGCTGTGGGCGCCCACCCTCTGCCGTGCCCTTTCCGAGAGGAGACGGGGGGCCGTGCGCTGCGGAGTCTTGGGGGGTGATGGGTGGAGAGGAGGATTTTGAAGGTGGCACAAGCATTCATTTTTTTAATAGCCTGTATCCTCAGTGTTGCAGTGTACTTAACTTTCACGCTACCTACTTTCGGACTAGATAGGGATTTTCACGGTACACGTTGGTAGTGTAAAAACAAAAGATCGCGTCGCAAGTTTGTATAAAAAATAAAATCCCCCCCCCCCCGCTTGGGACTTAGGAGACCATTCTTAACATCCCTGTGATTCTTGCTTTTATAATTTGTGTTAGCAGAGACTATGATGCGTTATAAATGTAGATTTGATGTGCACTCTGTGCTTTCTGCCAGGTGGTAATTCACTTCGGAGTTTTACTATGTTAAAACTGTAAATAGAGCAGAACATTAATAAATGTCACTTATGTAGCAATTTTTGCTGTAGCTTAGTGTTTACTTTCGTTTCAGTGCTTTGTTGCGCCTGGTTATTGGTTACAAACGCAGGATATCGGTGGGAATTCCATCACTTTTCCATGGAAGGTGTAACACACATCTCCACTTCGAGGTGTCCGTCCTCCCGTGTGTAACCGGGCGTTCAAACCCGCCCCGTCCGCGGTGCCAGCCTGGCAGCCCAGGGAACGGCCATTCCCTGCGTGTTGGGGGGGGCTGGATGGGGTCCCGCGTATAGAACGTCCCTGCCGCGTGGCTTGTTTGTGGCTTTGGTCCGTGGCTGAGCTTCCCGTGTCGCCCTTGCAAACAAGCCGTGGGGCTGACACAGGCAGATGGAGGTTAGCCGCTTTCTAAGCAAGAAGTGGTGTAAATCAAAGAATTATTGGGTTTATCCTGCAAGGCAAAATCTGTAGCATTAGGGAACTCTGAATCACATTTGCCCAAACTTGGTAGATCAGCCTTGTGTTTACTCTCGTGGCATCTGGGCCTTATTTGGTCTTGTGCATTCCGGGAACGGGAATATTTGGCATTCCTCGTTCTCTGCGTTGGGGGCCGGAAGCTGCAGAGCCCTCCTGCTCCGCCGCTCCTCTGCCGGCAGCGGTGCCGGGAGCCAGGGATGCGCTGCCCGCAGCGGGGGGGGGGCGGGGGCGGGAGGAGGCCCCC